AGAGAGAGAGAGAGAGAGAGAGAGAGAGAGAGAGAGAGAGAGAGAGAGAGAGAGAGAGAGAGAGAGAGAGAGAGACACCCAAGCATGGCGTTTGCAAAGGGATCTTTCTTGCAATCACGGGATTGGGGCTGGGGCTGCAGGTTTTTGCCTGCCCAAACTCGTTTTTGTAAAATCAGTTGCGGGGCACACTTTCCTGCGACTCACAGATTCCTTTGATAGACCATTACTGAAACTGCAGTTTGCTGACGTTATTCATGAAGTAATTGCACTTGGAATCCTGATCTAACCGGACGGATACAGTATACGGCAAAGTTGGTACACCCATGAAGTACAGACCTGAGTCCGAATTCCAGATTAGTGAAAAATAACTCTGAATTTACCCCCAGTCCAAAAACGATATCTCATGGCTGTTGCCGTTTTATATTTTAAAAGAGATTAAAATAAAAACAAAAAGTATTCCCCCCAAAAAACAAACAAACGCTCTGTTGGATTTGAAACGAACGGTTGTGTCTGTTGGAATTGGTGATGTTTCAGAAAATTGGGCGGTCCGATTCGGAGGACGAATGGACAGAGATTTCCGATGGGTATGGGCACATGAGGCGAGTGAGGAGGACGACGACAACGCGACAAGGAAAGCACCATGACTCAGAGGACGAAAGAAAGGATGAGTCGATGGTCTCCACGTGGCGTAAACGACAGGAGAGCTCGACGGGCAAGAAGGAGAGCTCATACGAGCACACAAAGGAGGGCAGCCATGTGGAAAAGAAGAGAGAGGAGAAGACCCTTGTGGAAAAGAAGCAAGAGGAGAAGACCCATGTTGAAAAGAAGCAAGAGGAGAAGACCTATGTTGAAAAGAAGAAAGAGGAGAAGGACACAAAAGAGGGGAAGAAGGAAGAGAAGAAAGAATTGAGGAAAGTTGTGGAAGAATGCTCCGAGGATGAATGGATTGAGGTGTCCGACGGGCACGGCGGGAAGAAACGTGTCCGTAGGACGATAACGACAAGGAGGCGACGGAAGAGCAGCGGTGGTGGTTCYGACGAGGACAGTGAATATGGAGTTCGGACTACAAGACGAGAAAAGCGGGAGGAGCACTCGAAGGAGAGCAAGGAGAGCAAGGAGAGTAAGAAGGAAGAGAAGAAGGAATTGAGGAAAGTTGTGGAAGAATGCTCCGAGGATGAATGGACTGAGGTGTCCGACGGGCACGGCGGGAAGAAACGTGTCCGTAGGACGATAACGACAAGGAGGCGACGGAAGAGCAGCGGTGGTGGTTCTGACGAGGACAGTGAATATGGAGTTCGGACTACGAGACGAGAAAAGCGGGAGGAGCACTCGAAGGAGAGCAAGGAGAGTAAGCAGAGCAAAGGGAGCAAGGAAAGCAAGGAGAGTTCGCATAAGATTTCGAAAGAGGTGAAGGTGAAAAGAGAGGAGAAGAAAGAGGAGAAGAAGGAGAAGAAAGAGAAGGATCACAGCGGCAGTGCTTCCGAGGACGAGTGGACTGAAGTTTCGGATGGGTGTGGAGGGAAGAAACGTGTTCGGAGGATAACAAGGATTAGGCGCCGGAAGCATAAGGGGTCGGGTTCCGAGGATGGAAGCGACTACGAAGCTTGGGTCATTAAAAGGCGAACGAGAAGGGAAGAACACAACGAGGGGCACGAGAGCGGCGAGAGTAAGGAGACCAGCAAGAAGATGACCAAGGAAGAGAAGAGAATTGCCCACGACAGGAAGAGGGAGGAAGTAGATAGACACCATGCCGAGATTAAGAAAAAGCATGAGGAGAAGAGAGAGGACGTGGACAGGCGACATGCCGAGAAGGCATCACGGAAGGAGGAACACAAGTCCGAAGAGAAGCACAAGTCGACGGAGCACAAAGAGGAGCACCGGGAGTGCAAGTCACACAAGTCCGAAGAGAAGCACAGGGAGCACGAGTCCAAGGAGGAGCACGAGTCCAAGGAGGAGCACGAGTCCAAGGAGGAGCACGAGTCCAAGGAGGAGCACAAGTCCAAGGAGGAGCACAAATCCAAGGAGGAGCACAAATCCAAGGAGGAGCACAAATCCAAGGAGCACAAGGAGTACAAGGAGTGCAATACCAAGGAGGAGCGCAAGGAGCACAAGTCCAAGGAGCACAAGGAGGAGCACAAGTCCAAGGAGTGCAAGGAGCAGCACAAGGAGCACACGTCCAACGAGCACAAGTCGAAGGAGCACAAGTCGAAGGAGGAGCATATGTCGAAGGAGGAGCACATGTCGAAGGAGCATAAGGCGAAGGATCACAAGTCGATGGAGCAGAAGGCCTCTTCCTCGTCGGAGCAAAAGGCCTCTTCCTCGTCGGAGCGCAAGTCCAGCTCTTCATCGCACGAGAAGAGCTCAAGCTCGGCTTCTAAATCCAGTTCACCTTCAGCCAGCAAGGAGAACTTAGAGAAGAGTTCGGGCTCAGCCTCGAAGTCAAGTTCTTCCTCAGAAAAGAAGTCAAGCTCAAGTTCTCAAGAGAAGAGTTCGAAATCCAGTTCGTCTTCAGGAGGCATACAAACTTCTTCCGTAACATACAGTGAGGAGGTTACGGAGGAAAGGGTCAAGAAAAGCGGTGGTGGCAAGAAAAACTCAAGCAAGGGTCAGAAAGAAGAAGAGTGGGAGGAGGTGATCGTGACCGAGGAGGTTGTTGATGACTACTATGAGCCAGGCGGCGTGCCGTCTGAACAACTTTTCTGGGATGTCGATCAGCACTGCGTAGAGGTTAGCGAAGTGACCGCCATGGCGGCAACCGGCGGGTCATTGGCGAGCCATCATCTCGATCAGAGTTCCGACTACCGGCTTGAGCACTCCTACTCCGCGCATCCATACCAAAGTCAACACACGCACCTTGACAAAAGGGCAGGGGACTTCTTGCAACCACGCATCATTCCCTATAGTGCTATTGCTAGGCCGGAAAATACGAGCTGGCTGCCACACAGGGAGGAGGAGGAGGTGGTGACGACAGTCACCACTATGCGGGAGGGCGAGCAGCGGGACATTCGCCAGAGGGATGCTCACAGCAAGACTATAGACAAGGATGGCAAGTCTATTTCCCTGCATCGTGTGCGTCGGAAAGGAGGCAGGTCTCATGACAGCGCGGCTCACCAGTACAGCAGGATGGTCACTTACTGGTGGGAGCGGCCGCTGAAGAATGGCTGGGAGATGATGCAGGAGCTCTCGAAGGAGGTGGCCGACTTGGTTCTTTCGCGCCGCTCTCGACCATCCAGTCAGCCAATCCTCGACAGCGAGGCTGTGTCTGAAGATGTGCTCGCATGGACAGTCCATCGCCTATATGAGCAAGTGTTGCGCGATGGCATTTCCCCTGTTCGGAAGGAGCTCTCGAAGTACGAGGAGCTTCTGGGAGTTCTATGCTCCAAATCGTCCGATGGACGTGACGTCAAGAAAGCTCTCGTGTCTGCGAAAGATCTTATTGGCGAGTCCTCAAGGTTGGTATACGTCGTACGTCGCACACCTGCCAGTTTCTTCTTCTTTCCCTGTCTTGCCTCCCTGTTGTTGAGCCTCTTTTACCTGCACTGTGGCCCTCTCAGTCTTTCGCCCATCGTCATTCTTACTCCTTCCTATCCTCTCGTGATTTTGGCCTTCCTCTGTAAGACCCCTTTTGCTGTGGTCCTCCCACTTCGACGCTCCGCACACCATTTTCCTCCTGCCTTCTCCCTTGGTGCTCGTATTCACGCATGCATGCTTCACTTTCCTTGCCCAACTCACCTTGCCATCATCCCTACGCCGTGCCTCCATTTCTGCTCACGCCGCATCCTCCAACATGTACCCCGCTGTGCCCCTCTGATTTTCTCTGCGACCGCTACTCTCGTATCTTGAGCCACCTTCTTCCTCGAACATAGCGGACATAGCGGGCCGTCATTTTCACCTGTATACATCAATAACCAGGGTGATTTGTGTTCGGGGAAAAACGGGAGTTGAGAAGGTCCTCATGCTCTTTTGCACATCTCTCTAGTGGTGTAATGAGGCTGAATATTGTTGTTAACAACAGACAACGGTCTGGCTGTCGTCCGTGTGTGAATCGGTGTTTGTCCACTGTTATTTTTTGCAGCTGGAGCGCCTCCCAAGACCACTGTTCTACAAAGTCGCAGAGAAAGTATCTTGCTGGGTCGCTGCTCAAGAAGCGGGCGGAGAACATGGTTGAGCTACATGGGAGAGTGACAGAAGCTCTCTGGCTTGCCAACTCCACCGATGTCAGTTTCGAGGAAATGAACGATGCTCTGGATCTCTGCAAAGATCAACTAGCCAGCGTCTCTAATGCCGAAAAGGAACTGACTTTCATCACAAACATCTCAGGTAAGTCCCTCGACTTCTGTACTCGTTGCTCTGAACTACCCGGCATCGATAAAATTAGTACTGAACAAGAAAGGTTACGGCATCAACGATTTATTGTAGAATTCTGGCTCCCATGGCTGATCCTGGGCTTTTGCTGGCTCTCAATTTGCACAATTTTGCAGAGTTTCTGAAGGAGGCCACAAAGCACCGCTCGTCGCTTGCGTGCACTCTGATGGAGGGAGGGAAGCACATTCTGGCTGCTATCCAGGCTATTGCGGACGTCAAGTTCAGAAAGCTACGTGTAAGGAAACAACTCCCACGCCGTGCCCTGAGTTTGTATCGTGTCATCAGGAAGATCGAGCGGAAGGTGGAATCGGGAGACGTGGACGGTTACCTTCTAGTTGTGAAGGAACATGCTCGTGACAAACTCGCGAAGAGGAGGGGGGCCCGTCAGCGGAAGGAAAAGATGAGAAAGAAGGAAAAAGAGGAGTGTAAGCGGAAGTCGCACCGATTGAAGCATGTTTCGTCGTCTGATTTTTCTTTCTCTGATTCGGAGGAAACGAGCAGCAGCATTCTCTCGTTGACGAGCTCTTCCCATTCTGGTTCCTTCTCAGGTTGCTCCTCTGACTGTTGTTATTCTGATGGGAAAAGAAGAAGCCGTCATCGTCGCCACCGCGTTGGCAGGCGCCCTCATTACCGCTCGGAACGAGAGCACTGGTCGTCCTCCCTTGAGTCCGACCATATCATGTACGCGAGCACTGACTCTGATTGGTTGTCTTCTGACGAGTCATTGAGATGTTGGTCCACCTTGAGCTCCGACGACGGATGCGTGCTTGTTCCCGACGGGGAGAAAGGAAGGCACGTACTGGAGACAAAGGTCATGCATGTCGACGCTGTCATCCGGGAAACTCTCAAATGCTTGTTCTCCGACGTGTGCAAGAGTGATGCGAACGCTCTGAGCTGGAAGAACGACCTCAACTGGCGGGTGCGCATGCAAACGTGGCTTCGAATCAGCTGGGATGTCGTGCGAAAGATTGCTCCAGCCAGCAAAGAGGGAGAGCTGAGGAGTCTTCTCAAGACATGGAGTCTGAAGGACAGACTGTCCGAAGCGCAGGTCGTAGAGATCTGTGCCTTGAAGCACCTTAGGAAGGTTACTGAATTGCCCACGAATCTGTTCGAGCCACAGGCTCGACGATCTCCTCGCGAAGACGAGGCGGTGGACCCGCGAGTGGACTGGATTGTTCAGGATGTCTGGCGGCTTGCCATGGGAGTGACAATGTGGTTTGAAGATCTTGCTGAAGAAAACTGGGGTTGGTTGTGATCAGGAGGTCCGAACCAAGAATGCAGGACTCGTGGTTGTACGGCTTCCCGTCGCATTTGAGGAATGGGGACATTCTGGTGGGTCGACAAGCGTGGCCTACCTCCATGCGATTCTGGTGACTCTTGATAACAGATAGACGACGCTCTCCAGAACCCGTTCCATTTCTACAGTCCGGATAATGAATATCTGTGCATGGATCATGAGGGTTGCCTGTGTGTGTGTGTGTGTGTGTGTGTGTGTGTGTGTGTGTGTGTGTGTGTGTGTGAGAGAGAGAGAGAGAGAGAGAGAGAGAGAGAGAGAGA